TGTAGCAACCTTCATCTCTTTTGATCAGTCTTGGCCTGAAATTCACTTTACCCCTGTTCTTTGCTGGGTTCCTATTGCATAGAGTATTGTTTTCCATTCTCTGACTTTCAGTCTATACATCTATTCATGTATGTATGTATTTATTTTTCTGGTACTGGGAATTGAACTTGGGTCCTTGCACTTGCGAAGCAGGCGCCAGAACCACTGAGCTAAATCCCCGGCCCTTATACATTTATTTTTGAATTAAATGTTTTTTGTATCCAACATTGTCGGATCTTGTTTTTTTTAATTAATTTTATTGGTACATTTAAGGTATACAATATAATGACATTCGTTGGAAATTTTCATCTTTCCATAATCCTTCTTGGTTATTTTTTCCCCATTCCCCGGTCCTCCCTTCAACCCCTGTACCCCACCCTTTCTACAAAGACTTTGTTTCCATTTTTTTCTTTTTTTTTTTTTTTAGAACTCAGGTCCTTGTGCTTGCAAGGCAGGTGGTGGAACCCCTGAGCTAAATCCCTGGGCCTCCATTTTTTTCTTTTTCTTATATAAATTCCATTCTCTTTCTTTTCCCCTACCCCTTTGCACCTTTTCTGTTTCAGATTATTATACCTTTTAGTCCTCATGTACACTGTTTGGATCTTGTTTCTTGATCAATTTTGCCAATGTTTCTTCTGATTGAACTGAGACCATTTATATTGATTAGAACTGGTATATACTGGCTTATCCTTGTCATATTTTTGTTGTTGGTTCCCTTTCCCCTGTGTTTAACTGCTTGCCTTGCCTGGTGGATTCATTCTATTGGAATTCACAGAATTGTCTTTTTCCAGAATATCCTTCAGAACTTTGGAGTGGTGGTTTGGTGGTTGTGAATTTCTTCAGGTGTTCTTACCATGGAAGTATGTTATTTTTCTATCAGTTTTGAAAGTTTTGTGGTATACATCAATCTAGGTTGGAGGTTGTTTCCTTATGGGGCTTGAAATACTTCAAGCTATCCTTGACTTAAGGGTTTGTGTTGAGAAGCCTGTGATTTTGATGGGCTTTCCTTTATAAGTGGTTTCTTTTCTCATAATAGCTTAGTATTCTGTTCTTGTATTGAATTTCTGGAATTCTTGATTATATGCCTTGGTGTAGTTTATTTCGTAATTGTGGCTAATTGGGAGTTCTATATGCTTTATCTGCATGTCATTTTTTTTTTTCAAATTCTTTTTCCACGCGTAAGTTTTCTGCCAGGATTTTTGTCTGTTGTGCCATCATGATTTTTCATTGATTCCTTTTAGTCTTGTTACACTTTGCATCATCTTCAATCTGCATTTTTTCATAGTCCTTTGCTATTTTTAAGACAGCTTTCATTTGATGATTGCTAACTGCAAATCTAGGTCTTATTTTGTCTTCACATTGATTCTGCTGCACAGACTTACAATAGAGTTTTTAACCTCTTGGATATTTGTTGAATGTTTTATGGTATCCGGTTCTTTCCTGTGTTGGGCATTCATAGTTTCCATCACTTTAAGCTCCTTTTTTTTAAATTGAATTTATTGGTACATTTTAGGTATACAGTACAGTTACATTCATTACTGGGATCTTATACCTTTACATGACAGGTCTTGGTTCTCATTTTCTCCCCTTGTCCCTGCCCTCTCTTCAGCCCCCCTCCCCATTTACAAACACTTAAAGACTGTTTTTTTTAAAAAAGGAGCTTATCTACTGTAGATTCAATAACCATATGCTTCATTATGGTCATTTCTTTAGTTATCTGAAATTTGATTTTTCTAGAGCTTCATTTATCTGCTTTGTTACTTCTAACATTTCAGAAAGTTCTGCTGGATGGCTTTTGCTTTCTTTCACCTCAGTGCTCCCTGTATTTGCCATAGGTGAGCTGGATGTCTACAGCAAGCTTTTGCCTTTTTTTTTTCTTGGTATTGGGGATCAAACTCTGGTCATTGTGTTTGCAAGGCAGGCAGCAGAACCATTGAGTCAAATCCCTGGCTGCTTACATTTTTTTTTCTTTTTTGGGGGGGGTACTGGGGATCAAATTCAGGTCCTTGTTGCACTTGCAAAGCAGGTGCCGGAACCACTAAGCTAAATCCCCAGCCCCCTAATTTTCTATTTTTTAAAATTTGTGTTGATGCTTGTAAATTGCTTATGGTAAGTAGATAGTATCGAGACCTTCTCAGGAGATGACTTCTCTTCTGAGATGTTTTCTACACCTATGTGTAGCTGGTTTTTGGCCTTTGAGTCTGTCCCAAGATCCTGCCTCTTCAATTTATTAGTGATGACAAGTTGCTAATTTGGCCTAGTACCCAGTTCTTTGGTGCCAGACTATGGTTTTTATGACCCCTCAACATTGGTATACAAGAACAACTTAAAACAGTGTCATCTTGGCTGAAGTAGTACAATTAATAACAATAGCATCAAGTACTACAGAAAATGCCAAACTGAGTTACCTGTTAATGTGCCACCTTTAACTAAAGGTACAAGATTTTATAGTTATATAATAAAACATAAAACAAATCAGAAAATTCCCTCAATAAAGCAATTTTACTCTCAGGGGAGAAAAATTTAAAAGGGTTCGTAAGAGAGAAAAGTGAGAGATTAGAAGCAAGGCTGAGGAATACAGGAAAATTACCCAAGCTTTGGGACATGAAGAAAAAACAAGTAAAACCAAAAAAATTAAAACCAATGTTCACACTCATGAAAAACAAAAAGGAAAAAAGCTAAGAAAAAAAGATTTGTGATTCAAGCCTGTGGTGATCTTCTGGAGTGTAGTTTTGTGGTAGTGTCCAATTCAGGTTGTGTCTCTGCTGTCTCTGGTAGCCAAAGGACACAGTCCAGAACCGTACTAGATGATCCTAGTAAGCCTGCAGTGGGATTAGGGCAAAAACTAGATAATCTCAGCAAGCCAACAGCAAGAGCAGGATGGCAGTTTTGGTGCTTTCATTTTCACAGAAGTTCAAGTGAATTCTTGTCAATGATTATGGGGTTGGGGCCCAAGTTGTTCAGTCCACAACACTCTTTGGTGTCCCTTGCCACCCTGCCCTCTGCTCCCTGACACTGGATGCCTCTCTGATGTTTCTCAATCTGAGAAGGAACCACCCCCTGGTTGATCTGAGTCCTGGGTTCATGTGGCCTCTCCCCAAATGGTATGTGGCCAGGCTCCCTCTCCAAGCAGTCACTCACCAGCTACTGCAGTTTACAAGCATTTAGTGCTCCGTTCCATTGGTGAATTTCCATGGAGGCCTCTGTAGTTACGACCTTAACTGTGTCTCTATAGAGTCAGGCTTCCTCTTACACCATGAACTGGGAAAAAGCGCAGCTTGCCACCTCCCTTTTCAATGTGGAGGTGTTTCTCCACTTTCTCTGTAGGCTTCAATTCTTTCAGATCCTTCCTGGGGCCTTGGGATCTACCTTCCCTAAGTTGTTATATTCCAGTGTCTGGATTCTGACTCTCAAAGAGGCTAACCCCACTGCTGCTTACTGCTCTGCCATTTTCCTGGAGGTCTGTTTTTATTTTTTGAGATGAAGTCTCACTAAATTGTTAAAATAGTGTAAGGTGGGCTTGTACTTGTGATCCTCTTGCCTCTGCTTCTCAGAGTGCTAGGATTAGAATTGTGCCACTTTGCCTAGTTCTCTCTCTCCCTTTAAGAAGAAATCTGTTGACTCCTATACGTCTTTCACTATAGGGCAATGGATCAAACATCTGGGTAAAACCTTTGGAGGTGAGCCTGGTCTATGTACTTGAAAGCCAGTCAAGGTAAAAGTTTTTTTCCTCCACAGCTACAAGTAATGGCTTAATTGGGAAGACCTAATACTTGGCTACTTGCTACTTCATTCAGGGCTAATCAGTAGGAACAATATATTTAAGAGCTATCCAGGTAGAGAATATAGAATCTGCATAGGAAATGGACCATTTTTAGTACGAGTGAGTGATTAAAAAGAACAGCATCAAAAATAAGAACCTTGTCAGCATTACTACTTTTGTGGACTAAAACAAAGGACACATTCTCACTAGAACAGAAATAAATTTTAATTCATTGAAAAAGTGCAGCAGTGAACAGGATCCTTTGAAGGGCACTTTCTAAGTGAAATGACTGAGATGACAGAGCCAGAGCAGATTAACTTCTAGTAATAGATGATGCAAACACAGGAATTTACACAATTTGGTTTTCCACCACTTGATTCCCACCAAAGAATGCAAATGTGCCCCTCGAATTCCTTTGGTGGGTCAGTTGAAATAACTTCTGCTTTCTCCTAATAAGGATTCTAGGGCAACTTAGGTTTTATTAAAAAGCATTAATCCTTAGACACTTAGAAATAAACATTTCTCACAGATTAAGGTAACTTTCATGGTTATGTGCAAAAATCCCAGTGTTGTCAATTAAAATGTGTTTGCATCAGCACCGTTGGTCAAGCTCAAAGATACTTAAAATGTGTTCTTTACTTTGAAACTGTGAGGGTAAGTTTGGTAACAGGAAATCTTGTAAGGCAAAATCTCTCCATTCCTAAGGCCCCTGTTCATATGAATGATTTATGGTTCTCTACTCTGAAGGGCATCAAAAGTCATGGACCTGACTTTAAGAGGGAAAATAATCAAAATCCAAATCAGTATAATTAAGAACAACGTGAACCTCTTGCAATTGGGTGCCTCATACATTCTGAAAACAGTACATTTTGCAGTCTATTAAGATATAAACTGAGGTCTCTTCACTCAAACTAGGTAAGAAAGATACCAAAACTAAAAGAGGCACAAAGAGAACCTCACCACATCCCGCCACCCAAACATGTCAGCTGAGTTTAAGAGCACTGTGGCAGAGACTCTACCAGCAGCTGGCCTGGGTCATTCTCACGACTTCACCTGTTTTCAAAAGCCAACATCATAAAACTGAGTAATATGACATCACAGTCCAAGACCTGGTAAGAGATGGTTTCTTTTTATTTGGGAATAACTATGGGCAACTTTAAAACCAACACCCATATTCAACACTGTAGTTTGCTTTTAGTTACATTTTTTTTTTTTGATCATCTCAAATATTCACAGCAGAGGTGTTCATTTCACTTGCCTTTTAAACTCTAGATACTAATCACAGTTGCTGGGAAGATATGAGGTAAAGTAATAAACCAAATGGCTATTAAACCAACATGGCTATCTTTAATTCTTTTTTTTGAATTGTGATAGAAAAGATAATTGTGGCCATGTCTTACAAAGTGTTTAAAGCTTGACAGGAGGCTTTAAATAAAGCTAGCATCACTTTTTTGCCTGAGCTGAACAGGTTATAAATCACAACATTCTCCCCTGCTGTCTGTACCACCAATTAGCATTTTTGTGAAGAAAATGTTGGAAATGGAACTGGTCTTCAAGCCAAGAAATGTAAGAATGTAGGCAAGCTCAACAGAAAAACCAAATGGATCGCCCTTGATAGAGGACTACTGGACAGAGCCCTACTTATAAAAAAAGACTCCAAAAACTAGGAAGAACCTGTCTGAAAAGGTGGGATAAAGTAGGTGACACTTTGCATCAACTAGAAAAAATTTGTAGGTCTTAAATGAGAATGACAGCAAAATGCAGAGTCAAAATAGCTTCACGTGGCACCGACACTGCAAGACAGGCACTTCATACAAGCCCAACCCTATAACCTGTCAACCCAAGACCCCCATCTAGGCTCCCAGCAAACAGCCTTCCCTAGCCGCTGGCCATTCCTTCTCCCCAATTCTGTACCCTCAGCCTGTGCGGAGGAAGTCTCAAGATAAGAGAGTTCTTTAATATCTAGTGCTGACTGACCCGCCATGGGATTAGCAGCCACTGGAAAGCAGACAGCTGTTACTGTCAAGAGCTACCTGGAATTAGCCTTAACCAGAGCTCACTGTTCTTAGTGCAGCACTAGCATAGAATCCCAAAGAAATGCAGAGTTTGGTTGACATGTTTTGAATTTGCCACCTTAATTTATCACACTGTGATAGATCTTACAATCCATCTCTACTTTAGAAAAATGGAACGTGTACTGAATCAGATGATTCAGCTCTGCTGGTTAATTAAGCCATGTGATATGAGTATTTTTGACAGTGAGGTGCTCAGTCTAAAATGTTACAGAAGTCCTCTGCTTTTAGGTCAGGTTATAAAACAAGTTGTTTTGTTTTTTTTTAATCTTAAAAGTATTGCCATTTACCTGAATGGATTTACAAATTCAGACTTTGACCACACAGGATAACCAAGAATTATGGCCCCAGAACAGAGAGGACATGGCAGGAACAAAGACCTCAGGAGTGTTTAGTACCACCTGAGGGAAGGACCGAGGAAAGCCACTCCTGATTTGTGGGCAGAGTTCACAGTTTAACAAGTTGCACAAGGAAGTCAGCTGATTGGGGTGCTTTTCAAATAGGACTTAAAACAGAGCCAGTGCAAAACTCTTCCAGGTGTGTTCTCAAAGATGACCTACAGATACCTACTATGCTCACTTCATCAGAAAGAGGTATGCAGGAATCCAAAGGTGGAGGCTGCACGCTGTCTCTACAGAGGATGCTTTGAGAACCTTCGTGTTCTGATGCTGCCATGATTGCTGAACATAAGACGAGGGTCAAATCTGTATCTGGAGAAGAGAAAAGGATGTCACATTAATTAGCTAGTCCCTGAGTACTTCAAAATATTATTCAATGGGAAGGTTAGCAAGAAGGGATTAAAAAAAATCACCAGGAAAGTAAGTCTATAGTATAAAATATGAGGACTAAATAGTTACCAATATTTTCATTGTAATCCAGCAAGCACTAAGATGATGTAGTATAAACAGGAGAAAAATCTAAGAAGGTTAATCTTGTTTTTTTTTTTTTTTTTTTTTTTTTTTTTTTTTAGTTAGGCGTGTAATTTTTTTTTTTTTTTTTTTTTTTTTTTTTTTTTTTTTTTTTTTTTTGCAGTACCAGGGACTGAACTCAGGACCTTGCACTTCGAAGCAGGTGGTGACACCACTGAGCTAAATCCCCAGCCCCTATGATGGTTAATCTTGAAAGGTAGCAGAAAGCAGCTAGATTTTTCTTCACAGACCTCTCTGCTCTTGTACAGTAAGAAACTGGCTTATGGGTTTAGACAGGGTGATAACCTCTCTGGCCACCAATAAAATAGCATGGCATTTATATAAAATGTACAGAACAAAGAGAAAAACCCACTGATTTATCACTCAGAGAAAGGTAGAGTAAATGCTGAAAGGTAACTGGAGGTTGGGACTTAGACTATACACTGGCCGGTGCAGGTGATGACACTGCATTTTACTTCCTTAGAAACAGAACTGTGGGACAAATTCTTAGTACTAGAGCTGTGACTGGCCAACATTTTAATAAAGGGCTAGATCATAAATACTTTAGAGAATGGGGATTCTATGATGCCCCAACCACTGTACTGTTGAAATCCAAAAATGGCCAATGTGTGTGGTTGTGTTCCAAAATTTTAGCCATATTTCTAACTTTCCACGAACTTAGGACATTAGTTCTCTCTCCTTACAGTGCACTTAAGAAGTGAAATAATCCTTCTTTAGCGATGCTCTGATTTTTAACCTTAGAATCTTAAAGTAATTGGCATGCTTCTTGCCTTCGCAGCTCAAGTCCATAATATATTCTTGGTACCCAGCATCCTGCTGACAAGCTATGGAAGAGGCAAGGGTGGTGTGTAATATGAAAAGCAGAACAAATCTAGCCTGGCAGATGATAAATGTCTTTTATACTTCCATATATGACAGGTTTATATATACAAATTTACACACATTTTTATGTGTCTAAAATATGAGTTTACTGTAAACATTATAACTAGGGTTTTAAGGAGGCTGTGGGAACAGGGTCAAAGCTTCAAGAAGCCTAGGAGCCACCCTAGTCACCATGAGAAGAATCCCAGCAAGGGAAGAGAAGAGCCTCATGTGGGGAGTACAGGTGTATTTGTAGTTAAAGCAGTAGATGGCAGTGAAGAGCCAAGATTTCATACAGCCGAAGCAGCACAAACACAGTATTCCCTCTCCAAAGCAGAGCAAACAGCTTAGCTCAAAGGCGAAATAACCCAGCCCGTTCAGTTGTCTTCCAGCACAGCAAGACACTACAGGCAACTTAGCGAAGTAGAGAAAGGAAACTTACCCAGGGTCAAAAACTCCTGGAGTACGACAGGTTGGTCCCGAACAGGATTGTAACATCATTAACCGATAGTTCATCTTTCCCAAAAGCTCTGGGTCTATACTTTTAGCAATGTTAGTAATTTGGTCTGGGTCTGCAGTCAGATTATAGACTTCTACAAACATCTAAAGGATTGAGGAAAAAAAAAGGCATGGATCGTATTTGAACAAATAATCCTAATGTGAGTTATTTCTAAATGGAAAAGGAGGAGGTAGATAAAGAACTGAATCCCAGTGGGCTATCATCTTGTCTCCAGGTCCTCAGAGAGGCCAGCCATGTACTTGAAGTAACATAACAGTCCATCTGTGCTGGGGTTCAACTCCTTTGGTCAATGGTCCCATGCTGCAAGGGGCCACCCGCATACCCTGTGTTTTTAGGCAGTTGGGAAAGCACAAGGAGGGCACTTACTTCGTCTTGTAGCTGGAGCACAGAACACAGGTAGGGGCTCAAAAGCAAGGACTCAGAAGCAGAACTTAGTCACACACAGTGAGTTAACATATGAAGGATTTATCTTAGAATTGTGAGATTCAAATGAGAAGGTACATGAAAAGTGCCCTACAAGTATACAAATGCTGTTTTTCTATTATTATTATTTATTTTGGGGGGGTACCAGGGATTGAACTCAAGTCCTTGTGCTTGCGAGGCAGGCAGCAGAACCACTGAGCTAAATCCCTGGCCCCCATTTTCCTATTTTAAAAAGTAGCATTGGGTGTGTAACAGCAATCAGTGAAGGATACGATATTTCTAACAGACCCATCTAGTGTCAAGACTTCCTTCTCTATCTGTATGCTTTTTCAAAGGAGTCAAATGACAGTTTAGAAGTTGGTAGGTTAAATGTTGCCTACCATGCCTTCACGTAGCTGCCCTCAGACCACCATCTATAGTTATCAAACTGATAAACACTAGGGGGAAGGGCGGAGCAAGAACTGAGTCTGAGGAAAGTGGTGGCCCAACATGCTCCTGAGCTACCTGTGGAACGGTGCATGAGTCGATTTCTGAGAACCACAGACAAGCATCTGTCTCATGTGGTGAGATGAGGGGTGCTGAATGGGGCAGGTGAGCATATGCTGATAAACAATGAGATCGCCAGGGACTGGAGTCCATGTGCTCCTTCAGATAATCTACACTCGTCATCTTTGGTAGCCAAAAAGCCACCTTCTCCCAGAGATCATGCTCCTGGGCCTTTCTGGCCAACTCAAGTCTGTTTGAGAAGCACAGGACGGCTGTGGTAGGAACAAGAGTTTCTCAATAAGTGAGGTGCTGGTCAGCTTTCTAGGAAATACTTCAATTCCTCTGAGTTGCAGTGCTTCACTTTTACCCCCAGTACCAGGGAATCTTGCGTTCATGCATTATTCTGAAAAAGTGAACTGTGCATTTGAAGTGTGTCTGGATGGTGGTGTGAATGGAAACCCCCTCAGATGGATCACAGAGAAGCAAAGCGTGGCCTAATGGAATTCTCTAAGCTGAAGGAAACCTAAGCTGAAGTGCAGAGAAGGGACACCACATCTTCCCCAGGGAGCACCCTGGGAACCGCGCTTGTGCAGGAAGTCCACCCAATAAGGCACAACACATGCAGGGGTGGGGTGCAGGCAGGTGTCTCTCTTACCTCCTGGTCATCAAACTCACAGTACTGTAAATTCCACAGCGCTGAAATCGTCCTCACACAAGCGTAGGTGTTGTTATAAGCATCTTCACAGATACAGTCTGGGAAACAATGCTGTAGACACATTTAAAAAGTTAAATGAACAGCCTTCTTCCATGGTAACAAAAAGTTGTTTACAGGGCAACCACGCTGGCTGAAGCCAGATGTGGAATGTGACAGAAATGAAACCTCTCAGGGAAGCCAGTTAGTAAAAAATAGAAGTGAAGGGCTTTTCCTTAATGATGGCTAACTTGAAGAAAATATGGGACTCTGCCATTCATAGGCTGTTGCCAGCTCTTTTTGCTACTCTCCTGTCAAGAATTAGTTGTAATGAGCACCTGTAAAATGTATGCACTATCAAGGAGAAGAAATATCCAAATGAGTCACTTCAAGGACTATTACAACTACCTTCCTAAAATGTGAGGAAAAAAGCTAAAATGCGCTTTGTGGAATCAACTGCAGATAAGTCATTTTGAGTTTTTGAGACAAGCTTTCATCATGTAGTCAAAAGTGGGCTTTGAACTCTTGATCCTCCCAAGTGCTGGGATTATAGCAATACACCCAGCCACAAAAGTTATTTAAGAGGGTTGTCACTCAATACAACCTAACTCTAACTCATTTCATCCTATCTTCTGTAGGGTCTGTTATTCTACATTGGGTTGGTGCTTTACTGTATCATTAGACACTGTGTCAGAAGAATCATATTCAAATTAAAGCCTATGTCCCATTCGCCAGGGAGGCTTACATGGCTGTTATCACCTTCGTGACCTGCCTTGACTGCCATCAACACAAAGGCACACATGATGGCTATCAATAAGTGGGAATCCCATCTCTCGAACAGCTGCCAGTGATGCTATCCCTAACAGAAAATGGTACTACTACTGGGAGGGGTGGGAAACATGGAAAAAGAACTGGGGAGAATACAGGCAGATACAGGTATTTGTCATATACATTTGAAGAAATCAAAGTATGCATCTGATAGGTTGGCAGCATTATTTTCAAATTACTGAATTACCTTTGTCAGGCTAGTCTCCCACAGTTAGATGACAACAAAGCAATATTCAAGGGTTTCAATACTTGCCCTTGTGTGCAGTAGTAAAAAAGGTGCCTAAGTCAGTGCAAGGTATTACTCACAGATACTCCAGGACTCAGGGATGGACAGGTTGGGTCAGTGACATTGAGGCCTTCTCCTTGGTATTCCACCAGGATATCTGATCTCCAAGTCAAATTACTGCTACCGCTCTAGGAAAAACAGCAAAGGCAGGTGGCTGTGATAAAGATAATAGCATTCTTAGGGCTGGGGATTTAGCTCAGTGGCACTGAACCTGAAAAAACTCCATTCTACTACAAAGTCAGTGAAAAATCTATTTTCTGCACCCAAATTTAACAGCTTTAAAATTTAGTCTTTCAAACCTTTAAATAACCTGGAATTTATTTCAGAGTTTCGGTTCAGGATTGAGGGCTCGATACTCACCAATATGGGCAGTAAGGACATTCCATCCATCTGTGTCTTATTCAGATTATAGCCAGCGATGTCCAAGATAGTAGGACCCAAGTCAATGTTGGCAACAAGCATCTATGAAAATGAGGAAAAAGCAAATAATCTAGAACACAATTGGTCTTGCTTTCCCATTTATACCAAAAGCTCCCTTGCTTCATCCCACTGGACATAAATAGCAGTCATCATTACATTGTATACAGCCATTCTTTGACCTTACTTTCATATATTTAAGCAACTTAAAAAACAAAGGCTTATAGGGCTTCTAATATAAGCTCCTGTGATATGTATTTATTCTGCCAAGACTGTTATTATTTGTTTATTTATTTATTTGGGTACTGGGCATCGAACTCAGGTCCTTGTGCTTGCAAGGCAGGAGGCAGAACCACTGAGCTAAATCCCCAGCCCCCAAACTGTTACTGATGAAAATATAGCAGTACCTCACTTCACAAACGCTTCTGTTTGCAAACAAACAGAAGCATTTGGCAAAATACTGTTTTTGTTTTCAAACTCTGCATCAGGTGATTTTTTTTTTTTTTAGTACGGGGGATCGAATTTGGGTCCTTGTGCTTGCGAGGCAGGCCACCGAACCACTGAGCTAAATCCCCGGCCCTGCATCAGGTGATTAATACTACCAAGGCCAACTTTTCTAAAACTGCAACAAATTAAGATTGTGAACCATGGTACTAATGTAGTTTTAAAAATTTCTTTGGAATGGCCTTGTTAGGAATCATGAGAAAATTGCTGGATTAATGATTTTTATATAGTGTCCTCCAACTTGATTATTCAGATTAGTTCACTAAATCTGACTTCCTGTAGATTCCTACCGTTTTTATTTATTTTTCATTAACATGTAAACTTTTTATTACCTTTTTTTGGGGGTACTGGGGATCGAACTCGGGACCTTGCGCTTGCGAGGCAGGCGGCAGAACCACTGAGCTAAATCCCTGACCCCCATACCATTTTTCAAAGCTTCAAAAGTGGAATACTTACCACCAATGAGAATAACCAGCTCATTTTATAGTTTTTCAAAGTGACAACACTGCTAAACAAGAAGTATGCAATAGGGTTAAGGCTGCAAGAAACTTATTCTAATACATGAACAAAAGTTTCTTTGAAGAAGCTAGGCATGGTGGTGCATGCCTGTAATCCTATCTCTTGGGAGGCTGAGGCAGGAGGACTGTGAGTTTAAGGTCAGCTGGGGCTACATAGTGAGACCCTGTCTCAAAAATTAACAAAGGTTTCCTTAAAGAATACAAAACAGATGTTTTTTTTTAAAAAAACTACAGAATTTAAAGAGAATGTCTTGCATTCTCTTATTTTCTTGGTTTCTTATTTTTCTTTTGTATACAATGCTTGTACAGGGCCTAAGCCAGCGTAAAGCTGAGTATTAATATAATATGGCCACATATGTAATTTATTATCTGATAGCCACATTAAAAAGAAGTGAAATTTGGACTGGAGATTTAGCTTAATGGTTCTGCCACCGGCTTCCCAAGTACAAGGTCCTATTCTATCCCTGGTACCGAAAAAAAAAAAGTGAAATTCATTGTATATGTTATTTGATTCTCTATATAAAAATATTACTATTTCAGCAGGTAAGACACATAAATTGCATTTTAATTATTAAATCTAGCTTTTTTTTTTTTTTTTTTGAGACAGGATTTCACTATGTAGTTCAGGCTGGTCTTGAACTTAGTAGCCTAAACTGGCTTTGAACTTGCAGCAATACTATGTCAGCCTCTTGGGTGCTAGGATTATAGGCATATGCCACCCTGCTTGGCTGAACCAAGCTTTCAAAATCTGGTATTTTAAAATAGTAATACATTTTAATTCAGACTATCCCCATTTCAAGTATTCAACAAGCACTGCAGATAGCAGCTACTGAAACAGACAGCATAGCAAATGGAACCTAAAGCACAGGCCAGACGTCACTTGGTCGTAAGCTTGAAAAAGCCTTTAAATGAATGAAGACAATCCATCAGGGAAGAAAGGGAGAATTACAGTTTATTGACACTGGTCTGTGCCCAGTATTTAACTTTTGTCCTTATTTATTCCTTATCACAATCTTAGGATGCAGCACGTCTCACATTTTACAGATGAAGAAATGAAACAAAAGTAGAAAAAAGTCAAGAGCTTGTAAATGGAAAAACTTACTGAAAAGAAACTGTAGTCTTCAAAACTGCTGGAAAACTGATCTTAGGAGGTGCCAAACAGGGAAGTGAGGGGGGAAAAATCAACTAATGCTACCACGTTTAATTAAAACCAAAAGTACAGATATGAAAGGCAAAACATGTTTGGAACATTGTTCATCAGGGGTTAAGTTTCCTGACAGCCAGGATGGCCCCCAAAGGGCCAGTGATATATGTACCCCAGCTCTGAGTCAATTAGTGTACTTCCACAGCTGTTAGGAATTGCCATTCAGCGGAGATAATTAAGGGAGAGGAAATCCATGTCACTGAGAAAGACTCAACATGCTGTGTCCTCAGGGATTACACAGATCTATTGTTACAGATAATTTTCCTAGTTCTGAGCCCTTCTGGCAAACTGAGCATCTTGGAATATAGTCATCAAGTCTGTGTGAATATAGAGATCACACAGGAAAGAAGACAAACACATGATCACCAGAGTCCTTAAGATAAAGAGAAGGAAGCCCAACCCATAGGCACTATAAAGCATCCAAGACAGTTTTACAAGGAAAAGGGTAAGCATCAAAATTAAAAAATACCAGAGACACAGAACAGTGGTTGCTAATCTCAACCATAATCACTTCAACAGCCAGCAGTTGTATGATGGGAGACTCTAGTAGTGTTGTTGCTCAGTGGAAAGAAAGGCCTATGAATTTCAGCATAAAGCAAGAGTCACTAAGATCCAACACAAATACCACAAGCCTGTCATCCCAGGACTCTTTCTGTTACCAGATGTCTCCATTTACTGCATCTTCCCTAAATGTGATGGACAAATTATCTTCAGGATTCCTCCTAAGAAGCAGTCTCAAAATGAGCATACTAGGTCAGAAGATGGAAAATCTCTTGTTTGACGCTGAGTGGGAATAAAGAATTCAAGAGACAATTACACGTACGGCCAGTTTTGTACAACCAAGCATTAGAACAGATTCTATGAACTACAGAACATCAGAGTTCCAAGTCCCTAGAATGGCACTGCTTTTATCACACTGTCAGGTAAACTTAAAGATTCATTTATAGATTGAAACAGAAAAGGCTTTCACAAGACCAAATAAATTATTCCATACATTGCAATCTATCAGTTTGAGAATGTTCTTAGGATTCAAGCACACACACATTCTAATGAAAATTGCCCCTAGAATATCCTGGGCTGTGAGATCAAGGGATACCAAGTGTTGACCTTGATTATTTTAGCTCTGGAAAAACGATGGTGCTGCATAATTACTGGAAAGAAGGCAACAGACTCTGGAGAACACATCAGGTTTCCAGAAAGACACGTAACCTCTGATGTTAAACAATTCCTGCGGGGCTACCAGAGAAAAGACTCGAAACACAACAGAAGGTGCCCTAGGCTCACTGGAGAAAGGGACCAGACATGCAAGAGAAAGCAGAAAACCCCTAAATCCTAGGCTGCTCCAGCTGGATGTGCCGTAGCTCTAGCTTCCCCAATAAAGCAGAAGCCAAAGGAATCATCCAGTTATACTCAGGAATGGAGAGATATAGCAAAATAGCAAAAGCTATTTTGTTCAAAGTCTTAAAGCCCGTGAGGAGTCTTCCTGACTCTCAATTCAGTTCTATTTCCCTTGGACCATGTTCTGCCAAACAGGCAACTCTGTACCACTCCCACAGGACACCTGCACTGAGGTGACTGCCACCATGTGATGAATGCCCCAACATCCCTGGAGCTAGGTGAAAACTGAAGCATTTCACACTTCAACAATATCTATTAACACAACAGCATGACAATCGTGGATTATGAGAATAGTGCACTGTCAGTTTGACTCTGACACTTACTGTATAATCTTTTGGTAAAACCCATTCGACTAATGTGGCTATTCATCAGAGTAGGTATGTTAAGGGCTGTCTATTCTGAGTCAAGACAGTTCCTCTTTCCTGGGACATCAGAGTGAACAAAGAAACTCAAGGAAGTATAAGTGTGAGGTCAGCTAGGAGCAGGTAGGAAGGGGACCTACCTCATGTAGGGGGAAGGAGTCCAAAGTGAATTCCTGGGCAGAACCTCTAAACCAAAGTCCTTCAGAAAAAGTAACCTGGCCAGCTAAAGACGGTCTGAGGAAGGAATCACAGACATAAGGAGCAAACGGGTGTACCAAGGCCAAGAAGTGAGAAAGATGGTGCACTAAGTGAAAACAGTTCAGTACAAATGCTACCTTCTGTCACTTGAACAAGCTTGGCTTATTCCAACATCTATGCCTTCACGTTTACTGCGCTGCTCAGAACATTCTTCCCGCAGACCTTTGTGACTAAATTATTCTCAAAAGCCGTATCTCTGCACAAATACTTGAGGCTTTCACTACTGCTACTGCTAAAGGACCAGGCTCTTCCTGGCACCAGGATTTAAGACCTGATCTTCCCAGACTGCATCCACAGTTCCTGATGTATTTTAGTGCCAGCAGAAGATATTTAATAGCTATGTGGTGAATGAACTATAGTCTAATGGAGCCAGATTTTCCAAGTTCAAATGTAGGGCTCTGCTATGCAATCTTAGGCAAACCAATTAATTTCTGCACCTCAGTTTCCTCATCCGAAAGATGGGATAATATCTTGTAAAGGTTAAACAAGATTCAGGTAATTCTCTTAAAGCAGCACCAGTCACATACTAATAAATGTGAGTTACTGTTGAAATGGCATCTTAGGAACCAATTTAGATTGCTCAGACAAGGTGATATCTGATCTTCACATTTAGATGGCACCATCAACCTGAAGGAACAGTGCTGACACATTCCACGGAGCTCCCACTGGGCCTTCTTCCCCACAGTGGTCATACACAGTCCCAGTGCCCCTACTTCTTGGAAATGCACACACTGCTGGCACAGTCTCTTCAAGCAGCTCAACACCAACCTCAATACAACACTTTTAAGATTTAATGACTTTCCCAACTTGCACATCTCTGATAGAGCAAGCTTGTTTAGACAACACTTAAATTTGTACTGGAAAGTTAACTTGCTTGAGGCATGTAGGTCTTAACAGCAAAGAAAATTCAAAAGATAGTTACAAAGGCTGCTTTCCCTTTCTGTGAAAATTTTAACAATACTTCAACAAAAGCATGGTATAAGGAAGTAAGTGAAAGGGTAGGCAGTGAAAAAGTACTCAATATACCCATGTTGATGTCTGTTTTTCAATTTTAGATTAAATTATATGTTTGCTCATTTTCTTTGATTTCACAGAGCTTGGAATGAAATTATGATTATCAAGAAGGAGCAAAGACATAACTGGAAGAGCCTATCAATAGTCTCCTGAGTAGTAGAAGAGAGTGTTTTGGATGGAGGCGCCCACCATCTCTAGGACCAAATCCTCTGGGTGGGTGATAAGCACCAGGTTAGGAAAAAGACACAAACTAAATGGAAATAGTAACACGAAAATGTATTACATAGTAATAGGAGCGAGAACCAAGGAAAGAGGAAAGCATTAGTAAGGAAGAGTCCCACATGGGAAAAGAAGGAAAGAAAAAAATCTCCGGTATAGGATTTCTACCACCTTGTACTTAATGGGAGGTCAGACTAGCAGCAGTCATCACCTGGCAGCTGGTTAGAAATTTGAACCTGCATTTTACCAAGATGGGACGCACACATACAGCATAGCCTAAGGGGCTCTGCCCTGCAGAAAAGTGGGTGCCAAACCAGGAGATCTCTCAGAATCATCTGTATACTTAAAAAGGGAAAGAAAGACAGAAAATGAGTCCTCATCCACCCCGTGGAAGCTGATCCGATTCTTTCTAGGTGATGCCCAAACGTGTACCTTTACTCTTAATTTCAGATGGTGATGATGATGACCACTCTGTTGTCTAAAAAGATGAAAAAAAAGCTATGTGTGCTGATGTGACACATGTAAACAGGGGAAATATACTTAATAGTGGGTGGTGGGGAGCTAAAAAAAGAAAAAGGAATCATTGTTTCCAAGGCTTATAAACACAGAAAATCTTATGCTGAGCAGCCTTAGGTTCCTAGGAGGAACCTAACCAGCCCTCACAGGAGGAACAGCCTCATTTTCTCAGGGAAGTACCTACCCATACAGAGCATCAGCCTCAGTCACACACCTACCTTGCTTGTCTGATTTGGTTTAATTCCAGGTCCTCGGACCAACAGCGGAACTTTGATATCAAACTCATACAGCTGTCTTTTGTCTATTGGCAAAGAAAACTGTCCTGAAAATGAAATGCAAAAGGTAGAGATGGAGCCAAGATAGATGTGTAGCTCATACTGTTTCATGTACTCGACAGCAAAACTAAAAATCGTTTGTTTTCTACTATTCCTCATTTTTTTGTTTTGTTTTTTTCCAGTACTGGAGATAGAACCCAGGACCTTGTGCTTTTGATATTTTTTCGAGGCAGGCATGGTACCACTGAGCTAAATTCCCCCAGCCCTATTTCTCATTTTTTAACAGCTTAAATTTTCTGAGGTCTCTTTTTCCCACAAGGCAGGAAAAAAACAATGAGTTAATCATCTTTCAGTAACAAATGAGAAGGGACTCCCTGGTTTACAATAAGATGAACTAAGTAAAAGTAACAACTGGAAAGGGCCAAAACACAAATTCATAAAAATTTATACACTGATCATGGGTGAACTAGGTTCCTCCAAATACTGACAAATAAAAGGGACAAAAATATATATCCTTTTCCTGAATGAAATGTATTTCCAGATAACCAAATAACTGATGAGGAAAGGCCCAGCAAGTAAATGCAAAAGGACAGAATTATGAAGTCGGCATCTTACAATTTCTTTTCTTTTTTAGGTACCACGGATCAAATTTGGGTCCTTGAGCTTGTGAGGCAGGCGGCAGCCTCAGGTTAATTCCTCTCAAATGGAAATTTATTGACAGGCAAAGAAGAAAACATTTGTTTTTAACTATGGAACATCCAAGTTGAAAAGACAAAAATCAAGAACACGGGGCTAATTCTTACAGTAGTCTGGAAAGAACAAAAGTACCCAAAAAACAAATCTGTGATTTGGGAAGAAAAGTTTTTTCTCCAAGGTCACTTTCCACTGTTTCTGTTCACAGTATCTTTTCCCTTCTGAGCTCCACTTACCCTTAAAATTAAGCTCAATTTTCACCTTTTCCATAAGGCCTGCCATAAGCTCACTGTCTGCTCCTGCTCCTAGAACACCATGTAACCTGGCATAGGATTTCCCCCCATGGGAATAACACAGTCCTTTAACCAGAGTAGTCCTGAGGGCAAGACCCATCCTGTGCCAAGTTCAGAGCTGTATAAGAATTAGAACTCCTGCCAGGGTACTTACTATTTCTAAAAGGTGGCGGGAGTATCTGACCCTGCCTCTCACCTGTGTGATAGCCATTGTCTGAAGTAAAAAAGATGTATGTGTTGTTGAGCTCCCCAGTAAATTCCAGTCTCTTGATCAGCTTCTCCACAAGATCATCAACTGAGAGCAGAGTTTGCCACCTGGAAATGAACAGATTGGAAAGAGGACATCCCCCACCCCCAATACCAGGGATTAAATTCAGGACCTCGTGCTTGCCAGGCAGATGTGGTGCTGCTGAGCTACATCCCCAGCCCCTGGAAAGAGGACTTTAGAGGCAATGGCAATGTCACTATCTTGACAAAATGGGCAGACACAAAGATCCTCCCCAAACTAAAACAACAAAATGACTCCAAAGGTTCAAATCCTAAATTTCCATCCCTCAGACTTGCCAATGCAAGAGTAAACTTAAAAAATATAATTCACTCATTCCAAAGTTAGTATTTCCAAAGAAATAAGCTAGGCATTTTATAACCAGGTAGATTTTTTTATAGCCACTGGCAATGAGAGTGATAATCAGAAGGCAAAGTTATCAAACTGGTACAGATCACTATAGGTTGATTCACACAGGTCTATGCTACAATGTTTAATCTTCTAAATTAGGGGGTGGCAAACTATGGTCCATGGGCCGAATTTGCCTATTTTTATGAAGTTTTACTGGAACACAGCCACGTTTTGTCATTTTGGCTCTTTTATGCTACAAGAGCAAAGCCGACAAACAACAGAGAATACCTGCCTGGCTTGCAAGCCTACAATATTCACTAACTTTATACATGGTCCTATAGCAATGTTTGCTAACCTTTGGGTCTAAACTAAATATACCATGAGAGAAAGTAAACAGCAAAGGCAAATATTTGGGTTGATTTCTTTGACCTTTTCTTTAAACATTTCTAAACAATTTTAACCAGCTCAAGTTTGTAAAATTCTTTAACAAGTCCCAAAAATACATGGTTTAATCAGTCCTGGGGGCCCAAGGTCATTTCATATATCTGAGTGCAAAAGTACTTGTGCCTTCTTCCAAGACAGCAATGCCCCACCAAGAACCTTTCCCACTACTCGCTAGACTGCTGTTTTGATAACAGCATGATACAGTCCCCTGTCCTTAAAACCACTCTGAGAAAGTAGTAGTAGCTCTTACCTTTTTCTAAATGCATTATCTAAATACTGTATTGAGGAATTAGTCATTGGTGTCTTGGCTTGCCTAATTAACCAGTGCTTGTTCTAAAATTTAGAAGAAAAAAAGAAATGTTAAGACCAAGTCCTAGATAACAAAAAGGATTATTTTATTAAAAAGTGAACTGGAACCTATATAAGCAATGTGAGGCCCTCTCTTCCTCGCCCTCTCTCTCCCCCATTCCCCGTGTTCCTAAAAAATACTAATTTATCATTTATTCTTCAGACCCCATCCCCTCCCAAAACTGTTACCATTAATAAGTGACTATTTTCATTGTCACTGGGAAACCACTAGCTAAATGATAGTAAACGTCTAACTCTGATCCCATGTCTACTGCAACTACAAATGGGCAAATGTTGACTACCTGCCTCTGAATTTTGGTAATAAGTCTTTATTTCATTGCCCTCTATTCTTCTACTCAAAATACTGATCCTAGATTTTTTATTTTTGGTACTGGGGATTGAACCCGGGTCACTGTGCTTGCGAGGCAGGCGGCAGCACCACTTGAGCTACATCTCCAGCCCAAAGAGGTCATACTTTTAACAAAAGCATTCCTGTACGGCACTTATTCCCTCTTGTCTATTCACAAAACTCAGCAATCATCTCCAAAATTATGTTTCTCAAGTTGTTCTTTAGTTATAAAGTTTCAGAAATACTATGTAACATATCATTTTATTATAAACTCGTAAGAGACCAAAAAACTCCTAGAAGTCTCGTAGCAGAGTGATTTTTCTTTTTTTTTTTTTTTTTTATTGAACTCAGGTCCTTGTGCTTGCGAGGCAGGCGGCAGAACCACTGAGCTAAATCCCCAGCCCCAGAGTTATTTCTTTAACTAAAAGTTATCAAATGTATTGGTCATGATAACTTCTATCTACTCTTTTGGGACACAAAATGAAAACAGCATTGTATTTTAAAATCCAATTCACTGGGCTGGGGATTTAGCTCAGCGGTTCCGTGGTCTGCCTTGCAAGCGCAAGGACCCGAGTTCAATCCCCGGTAACAACAAGAAGAAAATCCAACTCACTTATATTTAACAAGCACATGCCTACAGCATGATAGGTAGTATGTTAGATGTTTTTATGTGTTTTAATCCTTACAGTAATCACATGAAAGGATTGGAATCTCTTAGACAAATAATACAGGAATGAAGCATCTTACTCATTTCATAGCCAGAAATCAGTAGTGCTGGGTCTAACTTCAACTCATTCTTTCTCCAGTCTTACAAGCAATTATAATTTTGTGTCCTGGAAACACAAAGCAGCACCTTCAGCCTTTGAAGCAAGAATCTGCCTATCCTGTGCCAAGGAAAGTACAACCTATTAACTAAAGCACATTTTCAGAAGCATAGTTTGGGAGATAGTGGTTTAAGTTTTGCGAACAAAAAACAAATTAATGGTGTATGGGAATTGTTTTATTATTTAAAATGTGGCTTTAAATAAGGATTCTCTATATGTGGACTTGAAGTTTTGCGAACTATGATAGTATTTCTCCTAGGGACCTGTCAATGTCTTGAACAGGAAAATAGAGGGTAATGAAATGACTTACTAGGCAAGCCTTAAAGGTAAAGTTAACTGACACAAGGCAAATATCTGGGTTGCTGTGATCTTGAACTGTGGCCCATGTACTAGCTCAGTTTTCCATTCAATACCCCTTTTCAACCACACTGCACTGTGCCACTCCTCTTCTTCCTAAGCCTTGGCCCACTGAATTACCCAGGGGAGGTTGCTGCAGGCTCAGTCCTCAGGGACTTATCTCAGCCACTGCCAGAAGGGAGGACACTCCTATAGTCAGGGAAGATGGCACCCTTATACTTCCCTATGGACTCTCCAGCTGTTCACTAGGTGTGTGGCGGGAACCTTATCTGTTCCTGTGAAGCAAGTTTATCCTGTCTTTCATACTAGCTCCTTTTCCCTTATTTGTCTAGTACTAGCTCTAAAAGATCTTGAAATAAAACCTGCTACATGGCTCAAAGGCTTCCTGACAAGAATATTATAAAATTATACAGAGAAGAGCTTCATGAAAGGGTTAGGGGATGCTACCATTCCATGGATGTTGAAATTCTTGTTTCTCGGTGCAAAGACATTCTGGAAAGTCTTCTGGTACTGAGGTGCAGCTGTCCAAGGTGAATGAGGGGCTGGTGTGGAGATCATCATGAAGAATGGCTCAAAGTTAGACTTGTAGTCCAGGAAGTCCAAGGAGACATTAGCCTGACACATACAAAGAACTGTCATCTCCTATCCTACCCAATAATTTAGTATTTAATAGACAAACGTCCTCTGGGGGGCAGAGGGTCATTTTAGCTGCTAATCTTAGCACATGATCATATTTCATGGTCATGTGCAAGCATGCTCTTTAAATAGTAAAATTTAGCAATAGTCAAACAGAAAAGCATACCACTTTAAAGAAAGCAACTGCTATCCTGATAACTTTATACAATCTAGAAACTGTTATTTCATCCATATGGAAATAAATAATAATTTTGCAATTTTAGTATTTACATTAATGAAGCTTGGAATATATACATTTGTGATGCCTTAAAGAATGTGAAAAGAAAATCAACCTAACTGAATAATGGACTAGGTGGGTGAAGCTAGCTTAACTTTATGAAAATACACAGAAGATGTCAATTATGCCAGCCAAAGTTACTAAGCTAAATAAGTATTAAGCACAAATTCTGGAGTTGGGCATGTAGGCAGTGGTAAAGCACATACCATATACCATGCATGTGGCCCCAGGTTCAATCCCCAGCACCAGAAACAAAACAAAACCCCAAATACATTGACACCAGGGCTTTATATCATATGAACTTAAGATTCTTCATTTACTTATCAAGAAATACTTTACGAAAATGAAAACACCCCATACACATGCACTTTCATGTTCTAGTTGATTTGCACCTTCATTTATTCCCAACATTAGCTGAAAAGATAACAGTATCTACTTCCTATCAGCTTCCCACTCCTCTACTTTATTCCAGTCATATCAGCTTCTTTGTGGTTTCTCAAATATTGAACACACTCCTGTTCAACCAAGGGTCCCATACCTACCACTCCCCCTTCTGCAGCAGCACTTTCTCTCCTAATCTGGATAGTATACCCTCATCTCCTTCAGATTTCTGCTTAAGTCTTATCTAGCTCCTTGCCTCTTACTTTTCTAACAGATTCCTATCCAAGGAGGCAAGAAATGAGTGTATGTACATATCAACATACACACGGGCATACCTGCAACTTCTTGTCACAAGGAGGTTACCTTTCACAGAATCAGACTTTGCTTCACTTACTGTTGAACACCTGTTAGGACAGCTGCTAAACTATTTAGGAATAAATGTTGTATGGATGGTTTTCATTAAAAACACTTCAGGAAAGTCCCAAATTCACTTGACTTCACTATTTTACTTGTCCCCCGCCAAAGAATTCCCATATTCCTATCCCTTCAGTCACACAAAGGCCTATTCGGCTGCTGTCTTAATTTGTAAGACTGGGGGTCAAGACTGAGAACCTTTACAAAGTAAAGCCTGTACAAAATTATTCTCTACAGTCTTAAGAAAAAGGGATTTGTTCCTGGAATTGCAAGAACATTAGATTTGAGCCTGGCTTACATACAAAGAAAAAACACCCCCAGGAATTCTTAATCAGCTGGAAATAACTCTTTGGCAGTTAGATGAAATTATTATGCATTTATATTAACCAACACAAACAAGTAAGACTAGAGGTTTTCTAGGCAAAGTCTTCAATCAAATGTGAGCCAGACCTACAAGGACAGAGCTTTATATAGGGCTCCAGCAACTCACCAGGACATCTGTCAAGTAGTCCACACTGTAGTTTTCTCCATGCTTACGTGCTTTCCCATTGATGGAGAGAGTGTAATTATAGTATTTAGAATTCTTTTCCTATTTAAAAGGGGAACAAATTTGTAATGAAGTTCAAATACAATATGAAAGTCTAAAACCACGCTGGGTTAAACTGTTTAAACAGTAATAAGACATACAAAAGACAATTATTCAAATCAATTCTGAACTGGATTTTTTGATGAGGACCTTTATCCAAGACTGGTATAGTTTCAATAATTTATCTTAGCTTAAAAGCCACAGATGGACCAGGAAGAATAGTAAACTACATTGCTAAACTGTAATGTAGCAAAAATATCTGGAGAAAAGCAACTCACCAGTCAACAGATTTTCTTTCACAGAGCTAACACAGTTAATCCATAGCAAATCCAAAGCAAAAAATATATGTTGGTATTAAAATTAAGTCTGAAATAAAATATATTTTGCACCTGTAAGGTTGTGTGTGATTATCAATAATGATTCAACAAGCACTCACCAAAGCATACCAGTAACTCCAGCCTAGAGGAACATGTTCCAGACCACCTGCACCCAGGGATCCATACTGAAAGAGACAAGTAAGGCATCAGAACTCCTGAGATATGACAAGAACAGAAAGAGGCAACTGAGAATCTTTTTACAACTAGTACCCGAAACATATGGTTGCTTAATTTCCCCAAATATGTAAATTAATAAAAAAGCAAAGAACTCTATAGTCTAGCAACTTCTTAGGCTGGAATTGGCAAACTATGGCCATGAACCAAATCTGGCTTGCCAACTGTTTTGTACAGCTGGCATGCTAAGACTTTTTAAAAAATCCATTTATCAATCAAAGAAAGATATTTTGTGAAATGTAAGAGTTATATGAAATTCACATTTCAGTGCTGACAGTTTTATTTATTTATTTTTTTTCCAGCTTTGAGTTTATTGGTACATTTTAGGGATACAGTACAGATACATTCATTGTTGGGATCTTGTACCTCTACATGACAAGTCTTGATTCTGACAGTTTTTTTTTTTCAGCTTTAATTGAGTTTATTGGTACATTTTAGGGATACAGTACAGTTGCATTCATTGTTGGAATGATTCTGACAGTTTTATGTGAATGCAGTCACTGTCATTCACTTCAGAGTACTTACCTTGCTCTAGAGATGGATGGCTGCAAGGCCTAAAATATTTACTGTTTGGCCTGCTACAGAAAAAAAATCCATATGGCCTACGTCCTATCACCAGCTATGATGGTACAGGAGAGTACAACTTAACTTGTGGCTAGTAACAACCAAAATAATCAGACTGAACTATTGGGCTATTATTTCAGTTGTCCTGAAAAAAATCAACCAACTTATCCGATGAGATGCCTAAGTGAAGAGACCATGGCATGCTCCCACCTTTTCTCAGCAAAGTTTAATACTGCCCATTTTAGGCAGACTTCAGTCCCCAAGGATTATGTCCACATCATATGACCTTCAATATGCAAAGTCACATAAGTTCCCTTTGTGACCCACAGATCCAACCCCATTACCACACATCACACGTTCCACTTCTCGTGATTCTTTCAAAGTGACTTAACATCCTTCAACCCACAAGGTTGCAGATTTCATAATTGGAGTCTCAGGGGAGGAGGAAGAACAGAAAATTCGAATCAGATATTAAGACCACGAGTGACCACAGATATAGTATTAAGAAAATGTACATTTTGGGCTGGGGATTTAGCTCAGTGGTGCCGCTGCTTGCCTTGCAAGCACAAGGACTCGAGTTCAATCCCCAGTACCAAAAAAAAAAGAAAAGAAAAGGTACATCTTCTTTGTCCTGTGTTCCCAGTTTAACTGTATAAGCTACCCACAAGCACCCCAAATACGCTACTTCCATTAAGCCTGGAATTTGACTAAGGGCTAATGCTAATGTGGTAGATTTGGAGTCATGAAACCTGGCCTGACAGGTAAAAAACAGGAATCATTTCCTCCAGGTCTATGAGGCCAGCATACCAACCTCTCAGAGTTTGTATGAATGGCCTGCCTGCCTCAGACTCACAAGCTTTTAACAGTTTGTTTTCACTTTCCAGGTCAGAAATGTGTTAAGCATTAAGTTGTTATAATTCGTGAAAGACTATTAGAAATCTAAGGAAAGTCTAAGAGGAAAATTTTTTCACTTGGATCCTGACACGAGAAATGGAAACAAAGATACTGTGATAGCCACATGACAAGCAGAATTCCTGAAGAAAAAAGGGAAGACAGCAGCAGTCTTAGGAGAATTTTAAAATAAATGATGGTAGAATAATACATACAGTACCCCACTCATGTAAATATGCTCATGTAAGTTCTTTAATGGGCAGATTAGAAAAAAACATATACCAAGAACCCTTTAAAATGGCCTGGATTGATTCAAACGAAAAAGCAATTAAGAGGAACTATATTAATTCAGAATCAAAAAGCTGTTACAAGAAAAAGAAATAGATTATGTAGCATACCTCATTTAAATATTTCCCTGCAAAAAAGGTTTGGTAACCACACATGGACCTCAGTATTGCTGGGAAAGTATTTGGCTCCTGGGTCTTCTGCCAAGACGTGCTACTGCAGTTTCCTTCCAAAGTATTGTTGACAACGTGATGATTATGTGGGTACTTCCCTGTCAGGATACTGGCTCTGCTGGGGCAGCAAAGAGCACTTGGCACATACTACAAAGAGAAAGGAGCAGAAAAGGCAAAGTTATATGAGAAGGATGGGTTTCTCATTTCCAAGGAGAATAAAAGAAGCTACTCAATAGTGTAATTTCAAATTCTGAATTTCTCATTGAATAGATTTTCTTTACACGGCATAACGTCAGATTGTTGTTAGGGTACAGAGCGAAGACACTGAAGTAGGTAAGTCAAACAGAAAATAAATTTCTTGTTTTCAGTTGGTTTCTACAAATAATAATACATGTACCGTCATTTGGCAAAGAAATAATATTTATAGGCTAGGAACACAGCGTGGTGAGACAAGGGTCTTAACCAAAGAAAGAATGCTACTTTAATCTAATGTAATTGAGTACAGGTTCATTTTCAGATTGATCCGTACCTTCATATATTTCTTGTATCACATTATACACTGGACACAGACTTTTTTTCCTTGTCTAATTAGGTTTATCTACTATCAACAAATTTCCCCATTTTACCTAGTAATATTTACATATCACCAAGCCACTTCACAAAAGTGAATACTAGCTCACACAATAGCTTGGAAGGAATAGCTATTCAAGCACACATTCATGCTAAAATTAGATACTGTCCCTTTTAAAAACTTAGCACTATTTCTTTGGTCTTTCATATTGGATTTAGATTTTTGATACTAGGAAATAAAACCAGCAACTTGTAAATGCTACACATGAGCTCTACCACTGAGCTACACCTCTAGCCTGCACCGGCATTTTTAAAGACTAGTCAGGATGAACTTCTCCACATGCAAACTACCCAACTGTGTTTATGGAAAGTCTCTTCATGTGTTTTGCTCTTTTTTTTTGTCCTCCTGGGCTGTTGACTTCCTGTTAGATTTGAATTAAGGAATGACTGGGGGGGGGTCACATTATAAATACTTCCCAGTTTTACTTTTGCCTTTTTACTTCTGTTTTTTGGTTTGCTTTTCTTTAAGTTTTTGAGACAGGATCTTACTATGTAGTTCAAGCAGGTCTTGAGCTATGTAGCCCAGGCTGGCCACAAATTCAGAGCAATCCTCTTACCTCATTCTCCTGAGTCCTGGGATTACAGGTGTGTAGGCCACCATACCCTGATGATTTTTGTTAATTTTTACATCAGCAAATTCCAATTCTTTTCTTTCTTCATTCACATTAATTTCATGGCCACTAACACACTGTATTCTTCATACTAGCTTTTAGTATCTGGTTGGGCAAACTCTTTCTTTGAAAATATATTGATAACACTGGGCGTGGTGGTGCACGCCTGTGATCCCAGCACTCAGGAGGCTGAGGCAGGAGGATTGCTGTGAGTTTGAGACCAGCCTGGACTACATAGTGAGTTCCAGATTAGTCTCAACTACATAGTGAGACCCTGTCTCAAAAAACCAAAAAAAAAGAAAAAAATGAAAAACAAACGAAAATATATTGATAGATTTGACCTCTGGCACATAAAAATATTTTACTTTAAGGTGAGGGGTGTATCTCAGTAGTACAGCAGATGCTTAGTATGTAACAGGCTCTGGGTTCAGCTGTCAGCACCAAAAAAAAAAAAAAAAAAATGCAGGGCCAGGGATTTAGCTTAGTGGCATCCTTGGCAAGTGCAAGGTCCTCAGTTCGATACCTGGTACCAAAAAAATAAATAAATAAATGAGGGGCCAGGGATTTGGCTCAATGGTTCTGCCGCCGGCCACGCAAGCACAAGGACGCGAGTTCAATCCCTGGTACCAAAAAAGAAAAGAAAGAAAAAAAAAAAAAAAAAAAAAAAAAAAAAAAAAAAAAAAAAAAAGCAAAGCACAGAACCACTTGGGTCTAAAAAAAGTCTTGCTATGATTTGAATTAGAATATTTTGCTTGTATTCCCATAGAAAATGATCTACATATCTACGTATCAAGTATTTTTATTTTATCACTAAGTATTGTAACTTTATATAGGTCTTAACCATTTCTGGCCACCACGTTATTCCTAAAGAGTCTGTATTTCTCTATTATGAAGACAATTCTCCCTCTTCTACTTTTCTAACTCTTTCTATGAAAGAAAGATACTTTGGGGATGGGAATGTAGCTCAGCAGTGCCATGCCTGTCTGGCAAGTGCAAGGTCCTGAGTTTGGTCCCCAGTACTGGGGGGGTGGTATTTTTATTTTTACCTCTTTATGTTGCTGAATTCTACGTAAGAGTTTTCCAACAATCTTCCTGTGTTTTCTAAGTAGAGAATCCAAAAAAAGTGGAATAATCGACCTTTTTCCAATACTTTTATATCTTATTTCCCTAAGATTTATGGCAATGACTAAATAGTGCTGAACATTAAATAAAAAACAATGTCTCTGTCTCGTCCCTAACAATGCCCTGAGTCTTTCACTTTTAAGTATAAGGTGTACTATTTGTTTAAAATATTAATCAGTTTAATAAGTTATCAGGAAGGGATGCTTAAATTTCAGAGGACTTTCAATTACTGAGATGAATATCTAATTTTCCTTCTTTCAACTTCAGATATCATGTTGGTAGGCAACATAATAACCCAAAATCATGTAGTACTTATTTGAAGTCCAGTTCTGATTTTTTTTTTTTTGTACCAGGGATCGAACTCAGGACTTTGCACTTGCAAAGCAGGCAGTGGAACCACTGAGCTAAATCCCCAGCACCCAGTTCTGATTCTATGTTTTACATGTACCAACTCATTTAACTACCATAATCTTGATGTAGATTCTCGCAACTCTACTTACAAATGAGAAAACCAAGAGCCAGAAAAGGTTAAATAACTTACCCAAGGTCACAGAGGTGGAAAACAGGCAGAGAAAGTACTCAAAACTAGGAAATTTGGCTCCAGAATCTGTATTCTCCAGTATAACACTGCATTAATACTGGATGGATTTTCTGTTATTAAGCAACCCTTCCATTCCTAGACTATCACATACTAGGTTATATGTACGGTTCTTGAATTTGAATCACTAGTATTTTATTTTGCTATTACCTTTGCCAGGGTTGGCTAGTGGAGATAAATGAGCTTGTACCACAGAATAAGTTACACAGCACAAATATCAATTGATTTTTACAATCTATTTTTATACCTCAGTGAGGTTTTAAATAAAATTCTCTAATTTTGAGTTGTAGCACAGATTGGCTTAGGAAATACTTGCAATCAATCTTCAACCAACAGAAAGTAATATTTATTTATTTATTTATTTATTTATTTGTTTTTTGGTTTTTTGAGACAGGATCTATGTAGAGACGGACCTGGAACTCACTATGCAACCCAGGCTGGTCTTGAACTCACAGCGATCCTCCTGCCTCAGCCTCCCGAATGCTGGGATTATAGGCATGTGCCACCATGCCCCGCAGTAATATTTCAATTAAGAGAATTTACAGCACATTAAAACTCTCCTTCAGATCATACATTTAATGAAAAAAAGCCCCCACATAGATTACACCAGATTCCCAGAAGAATGTGTTTCTTAGGATATAAACACAATCAAAAAAAATTTGTTTCAAAACTTACAGCACTGGAGAAAGTCATCCCCATCTCTCCAATAAGATTCTTGGTTTTCTTCAGTGGTGTCTGTAAAAGTAAATATCCATTAAACAATTTCTTCTGATAAATTAAAACACAGAGCAAAATTATGTTTTAGTATATGTTACTCAACTTTTTACTCCCAAATATCTGTAATGACACTAAGCAATAGTCAAGAGAGTGGTATGATTCTTGAGATGAACCAAATGGATTTGGTTACAGTTGTATCCTATGCAAAAGTGCAGAGGCTCATAATGCAAGCTGGGAGGGAAGTTTGCAGGTGACAGTATTATCAGTAATGCTGATTTCAATGTCATGGTTCCCTTTACTTATGTTACCAGACCCCTTTCAGGTATATATGGTAGACCTATCTTCATGAATTCACCTTTCAAAACTAGTATGAGAGGATCTTTCCACCCTTTAAGAAATAAAATCCCACTTAGATTCGGAAAGCCAGACAAGGCCTTGAGATTCAGACTGCCTCAAATCTCACTCAGTGGTGGAGCCCAGACACACACTCTTCAATCTGCGCCCCCTGCAGTTCACCACCTCATTGTAAGCACTGGAACCAGGAGGCAGACGCTGTACATGGAATCCTGTCAGGATGGAGGCTGGTCAGAAACTACTTTTCATACCCTTGCTTTTCAGTTTTTGTTTCGAAGTGTAAAATTCTGACAAATACAGAGAACAATTAACTTCATTCTTGAAAACAAAGGTAAATACAAATAGGAACACTAATAATTTTTATTCACATTCTAAGCACCAGAAACTATCATTTTATTTATTTCTTTTTCCCCCCCCTGGTACTGGGGATCGAACTCTGAACCTTGTACTTGCGAGGCAGGCAGCAGAATCACTGAGCTAAAGCCCCGGCTCCAGAAACTACCATTTTATAGGCTCATTTCACTGTGACGCAGATCATGATTCTGAAATATCTTTGAAATCTAAGACATACTGAACACAGTTCAAGGAATTATTACAAAACATATATTGGGATCACAGAAAGTGCTAGTGCTGCAGGAAACCTGTGCCAATCTTCAAAAACAATGTCACCAGGTTTCCTCAAAACATCACTTGATGCTATCCTTAGGAAAAGAACAGTGGGTTAAATGCAAAACTGGCTTGATGAAAAATCGAAGTTACTACTAGGACACTGGGAGAGAAAATAACATGAGATGAAATCAGGAAAAGGCCCACACTGGTTGACTGAGACAATCATCGAACTGTCTGATTAATATGTAAACAAATAACAGGCAAACAAATATTTCAGGTAGTGATAAGTGCTAAGAAGAGAATAAGTCAAGATGAAGTGATAGCACCTGGTGGGGAGAAAGAACTACTTTAAGTGGGTGGGAGGAAAGATCTCTTTCAGCAGAGAAATTTGCTGCCCAGATTCCCAAGATGTGGAGCCAACTGTGCCAAGATCTGGGAGAGGATGAGTTAAAACAAGCAAAGGCTGTCAGAGGAAGGCGAGGCATTACCAGAAGCAGAGTAAGCCAGCATGGTAGAGGAAGTCCCAAAAGAAAAGGGGATGGAGCCAAACGACGGTGCAAGCTTCAGAGGAATTTTTATTTCAGTCTAAGAAAGAAGCTTATATTCGTTGCTAAGAGGAGTATACACGAAAGCCACAATCTGGGCCAGGGATTTAGCTCAATGGTTCTGCTGCCTGCCACGAAAGTGTAAGGTCCCGAGTTTGGTCCCCAGTAACCCCCGCAAAAGAAAACCACAATCTGTGCTTAAACAAGTCCTAAGCAAGAAACTGCACTACTGAAAATGTATGGGTCCCTGCTAACCTGAATGGACAGTGTGGCTAGATAATGAAAGCCACAGACAGTCATTAAGAAGCAGTCAATCTTACAATCTTGTATGAGAAAACTTTACAATCTCAAGAAAAGTTCCTTCCATAAATTCCTTAACAAGTCATTTATCTTCTTGGTTCCAGGAACACCTGCTCTGAGTTTTGACAACTGTTGTAATTCTAAGGCTAACTTTTGGGGGCGGGTACCAGGGATTGAACTCTGGTCCTTGCACTTGCAAGGCTTTTAGCCTTAAGGCTAACTTTTAACGATGGAAGTCATTTCACTTTAAGCGACATATTTATTCTTCCCTTATATTTCATCGGGGCCTTTACCCTTGCTTCCTTGAGGTTTTGACCAAATATCATTTCTTCCTTGAATGAGTGATTTTAAAAAAGGTAAGTTGTGTGTCTACCGCAAAATTATGTTTATAACCAAGAAAAAGAATAATTCCCTGGGAAAAATACTAAGAACAAAGTCCCACAGATGATACCTGAAACAAATACAGTGAAGTATTAAAGATGCAACTACATAAAAGACTATCAAAGATATCAAAATTCCACCTCAAATTGAAACCATATGAGGGCTATAATTCATTGACTTTATTATGGAGGTCGACTACTGCTGACTTTGCCAATTACAGCACCAATTTGTAATCTTTTAGCTCGGAAAACACGCTCCACACAAATGGAGAAATGATACACAGTGGACCCTCAAGTTAAGACTGCCCTGACATGTGCACAACTTGGGTTAATTGGGTTAATGGAAGATTTGTCTGCTTCTTATTATCTATAGCGTGAACCCAGGTAAACATCCAGATCTCAGCTGTACTGACTTACAATCAACTTGAGTCAAAACCAGTCCTCGGGAACCAAACTGATGGAGTTCATAAGGCAAGGGTATCTTACTTCACGCCCCGCCACGCAGAGATTTCCATTTTATTCTAGTCCCAAGAAAAGCAAAATCTGTTGGTAGTCACTCACAAAACTGATTTCACAAAATTGGGACCAGCAGTTTGAAAGATATTAAGCTAGGGTGTTACAAGAAAAACCAAGAACTTCTTGCCTAAACAGTTTTCATAAAGAAAGCATTCCACTGAAAGAAAAAAAAAAATGAACTGAAGCATTGTTTTTAAAAAGATGAGGAACAGGCTCGATCCAGGATCAGATGACCAGTCAGGGTTTTAGGAAAAGAAAGAGTTAACCTGCTTCTGCGTGCTGGGCAAACCCCTTTCCAGCCTCTGCAAGGGAGTTTGGGGTAAACGTTCCAAAGGTCATAAACTACAGAACTTTAAGATATCCGGAGCAAACTGAATTCTTGGGAAAAAATAAAATCATATGACAACACCCATGGACTGCTGACAGTATATAAAGCTTCAGCCAAGCATTTAATTAGGCTAATTGAATTTTCTGATTCTTGTAAGGCAAAACAAAACAAAAACCCAAAGCCCAAACCAAAAAACCCCAAAACCCCAAACAGTTCAACAGCTTAGCTACCACATTAGGTTCATTTTCAGCACTTATTATACTGATACCAGGCACATTATACACACAATCACAAATACAGAGGCGGCCTAAGTTCCTTATAAAAGGAGCTTGAACTTGGCCTGTTCCTCTAATCCTAAAGAAAAGCAATCAAAGCATGTGTGCTCTTTCCAGGAGCTGCTCCCAGTAGGTTGAACAGTTTAACCGGTGTCCACATGTTTATCTTAAGATGTGCACTACATTTTTGCAAGCCGGAAAGTCTAGACTAAGAAGCACTGTGCAGTGCCTGAATCATCCCAGGAAACGTAACAGTCCTGGGCCCATCAAACCCGCATAAAACGCCTTAAACTGCAGGCAAAACCAAACCCACCCAGGGTCAAGGCAGCTGGGGGCAGGAAAGATGGGAGCCGGGAAATGGGGAAACACAAGACATAAGCCTTCAAACCGCCGGGGAGGTGGAGGGGCGGGGCAGAAAGAGAAGAGTTACCATGCCGCCGAGCACTTCGTCCTGGTCATCGGTAAGGAACAGCACTACATTGGGCCTCCGAGAGCTGGCCGCCAGCCCCGGAGCTCCCAGGCAGCAGCTCAACAGCAGGAGCAGCAGCGGCGCTGGGCTACAGACGGGCAGACCGCGGAGACAGCCCCGCCCGGGCCCACCTGAAGCCACAGGGAGAAGCCGCATGCTGACAGTGCTCCGGAAGTAACCTAGAGAGGGTGTAGCGACCCGCCGGTGACCGAAGGGCCGGAGCCCTTAGAGTCGGAAAAGGAGGCGTCGAGAAGGCCCGCTGCTGAGGTCAAGGTTTCAGTCTCCCGGCTCGATCGCGATCACGTGAGCCCGAGGCAAGGGGCGGGGCACGTCGCGCTGTCACGTGCGGGCCGTGGGCGGGGCCTCTGGCGGGCCGGAGGTACGAGCCGCCGCTAGGGGAGCGCAGGGTTGTTCCCGGAAAGGGCAAGCCCAGAGGGTGGCGATCCGGTAGTGCCTGTTTCTGAGCAATTGTTGGAGAGACTAAATTAGAAAAAAGAGAAAATGAAAAACAGGAGAGAGTCAGTAAACACTAAGCGATTAAGAGAATGACAGGAGTAATGTACCTGTCATATACAGTAAGATCAATTGGCTGATAAAGTTTGGGCTCTATCATATGTAATTCGAGCAGTTAGTTGCTCAGGGTCCTTACCTGCGGTCTTTTTCAGTTTTCTCTACGCCGTGTGAGATAGGGCGCAATATTTTCATTTGTATCAGCTGTTATATTTGGAGCTGAATTCCAATGTAGCTAACCCCGAAGCCTGATTATGTTCTTCAGCTGACATCTTGGTTTCAAGCAGTTTTGGTGTAGGTGTCTTGATTGCGTTATTCTAATGCCGTATTCTTGGTGAGTTTTTGGAAGCTTTCTTAGATGTTAGAGGATATGAACAAACACAAAACCCTGAAACATGGCCACCCAAAGGCATTATTAAGTAAACTGAAGAAAAAAATTCAATGAAACTAAGAGCTCCAGATATTTCTTGTGGTAGAGCTGGAAAAATTCTACCTTGCCTCTCTGTTGAAGTCTGTAAAAACAGAGGTAATTTTTTAAATTATATACCCAACTCAATACAACAGTGCTTCCTTGCTAGTAGAAAATGCATTAGGATACCGTTTCTTCTACATCCTTTCATTTTCTTTCTTTCTTTTTTTTTTTTTTTTTTTTTTTTTTTTTACTCTAGAGAGTAATGATCTATAAGGTAAAAATAATTGTGGTAGCAACCTTGAAACCTCTTAAATATAACTAGTTTAGTATGAAAAAAACACCTTCGATTTTTAACTGTATTTGCTGTGCAAGGGATAGAAACCAGGGCTTCTTTTATGCTACCTATAGGCAAGCTCTCTGCTACTGGTACTGGGTCATGTTTGTTACCTTTAAAAAAAAATGGTTTTTTTTGTTTTGTTTTGTTTTTTTCGAGACAGATCTCCTTCAAGCTAGCCTTGAACTTACCGTGTAGCCCAGCCTGGCTTGGAATTCACAGCAATCCTCCTGCCTCAGCCTCTGGAAGCCTGTGATTACAAGTAGTGTGTTATCATGCCCAGCTATTTTTTGTTACTGTAAAATATTTATTTATTTATTTATTTATTTATTTATTTATTTATTTATTTATTTAT